CAAACACATAAACCGATCAACTTCAAAATTCTACTATAATTAACCATAGAATATATTATGTTTTGTTATTACATATCAGTTGCGTTTTGTTATACCACGTTTTATGTCACGTCCCACGGGAACTTGATAAAAAGTATCCTATGTCCTTCTCCTGGTTCTAAGCTACCTCCTCACCAATTTTCAGCCAAATCAGTTCAGCCGTTCTTGAGTTATAAATAGTGTAACTAACACGACTTTCTTTTATAGGTATATATATATATATATATATATATATATATATATATATATATATATATATAGATATTCTACAAAGAATATAATAACGAGCTGTAAGAAAGCACTGGAAGATACCACCGTCTCACCTATTTCTGTCGCAAAGCAATCAAGCGTCCAGATTTGAAGGCTGAGATAGTAGTTAGACCATAAAGTTGACCATAATATGTCGACCACAAGTATCTAGGTGAGTTGCGGAATTCTCGTGATAGTTTTTGTAACCACTTAACACTGAGCGGGCCGTAAGCTCCTGCGCCTATCAAAAGCAACAATGAACTACCTCACTTTCGCAATAATCTGGTCCCATTGTAAATTTTCATTTACACATTAGTACGTATGTATGTAAACACGTTTTTTTAACTTGAATGTTGAAATTACATAGTAGAGCGTGAAATCTTAATTACATTAGGTACTCGTGCATAGAAGCGTGTTCACCTTTTAGGGATTACTGGGTTTAAAATCTAATTATCTTAGATCAAAGAAAGTATTTCACGAGAAATCATTTAATTTGAATACAGCTCGCCATGGATACGAAAAATATAAGAAGTTGTTTTACAAGTTCAGTTTTTCTTTTTTTAATTTTTAGAACATTGATAGCTGAATAGCAAAGTAATTAAATTAGAAGTAATTAAAATAATAACGACGTTCTCAAACTTGAATAAGTGAGAACAAAATAAAGATATAAAGGAATCGACATACAAGTAAAATAAAATTGCTATTGTTGGAATCTTAAGACTTTAATGGTTATTTAAATATAAATTATAGTCAAGGCAAGTATAGGCAAGGTGAACGGAAGGAGACCACGAAGTAGAGGCCCGACACGTTGGACTGACCAGATCCGCACTACCCTCGACACCACAGTTCACGATGCTCTACTCTCGGCGGCAGATAAAGGCAAATGGCGTGGAATGATCCGCAATAAGCTCTTGTTGCGAGGAGGTGGTCACGACCCTCAGTATTGAGGAAACCGAAGCAAGAAGTTATTTATTTAAGTATTTTAGTCGTCGTGGCCTAAAGGATAAGACGTCCGGCGCATTCGTATCGAGCGATGCACCGGTGTTCGAATCCCGCTGGCGGGTACCAATTTTTCTAATGAAATACGTACTCAGCAAATGTTCACGATTGACTTCCACGGTGAAGGAATAACATCGTGCAATAAAAATCAAACCCGCAAAATTATAATTTCCGTAATTACTGGTGGTAGGACCTCTTGTGAGTCCGCACGGGTAGGTACCACCGCCCCGCCTATTTCTGCCGTGAAGCAGTAATGCGTTTCGGTTTGAAGGGTGGGGCAGCCGTTGTGACTATACTGAGACCTTAGAACTATATCTCAAGGTGTGTGGCGCATTTACGTTGTATGTGTCTATGGGCTCCAGTAACCACTTAACACCAGGTGGGCTGTGAGCTCGTCCACACATCTAAGCAATAAAAAATAAAAAAAAAGAAGAAGAATAGATATTATATATCACGGTCAGGTGACATCGAAATCTTTAATCTACACTTTTAGTGCAATATTTAACATTGATTTATTCTGTTATAACAAAATTAATGCTCTGTAACATTTAATCTATGTAAATTATATAGGATCAAAATAGTAGTCTGACCTAAACGCAAACTATTGGGAAACGAATATGAGCGTTGAAATAAATTACTTTCACTAATGTACCTGTAATATTCCATAGTACTCCGATGTATCGATACCCATACGCTAAAGCATATACCAAGTATGAGATACCGTATTAAGCAAGACGTTTCGTCAATTTGAGTATCAAAAATAAAAGATACTGGCTCAACCAAAAGACCGATTGCGATGATCAGGATCGTTCGGTCGTGTTATGAAATGTTTTACAAAATAAAACGCGTCGCGAAATGACCAAATTCATGAAAAGAGCACGCTTAGACGTAGAACGATTAAATGTTTAGCTTATTGTGCACTTTTGGATTCGTTTAGCTGTTTTAGTCTAGTATTTTCTTCGGTTTTCGCAACTAGTATACATTTATTTTACTGTTTATGAGCAGAACAGTCAACCCCATACCTGCGTTTATTTATTTATTTAATTTATTTATTTAAATAAGTACTGCCACATCACAAACATCTAACATTGAAAATAAATTTAAACTATTTAATTTATGGCCTGATGCATGTGACAACAATGGCGTACATAGCATTGGCAATTCATCGGCTCGAAAATGGAATACAATAATAATAATAATAAAAACAGTACTATTTGTTGAAATATTAATAAAAATGTCTAAAAATTTCATGTCATATCAAAAAGAAGAAAAGAAGAAATGTTAATACAATGTTAATTAGTAATAGCCAAAAAACATTTAACGCTACTGAGGCATAAGACGCAGAAGGTTACTAGTGCAAGAAGGAAGTGGCATTTTTCTAATTTTATTTTATACTAGCTTACCCGGCAGACTTCGTAGTGCCTCAATCGATAAATAAAAGACCTAAACTTTTGTATAAAATAAAGCTAAAACAAACAAAAGGAATCCGTCCGACGGGGAACACATTAAAGGAAAAACAAAATTGTTATTTTTATTTAATTCCGAGCATTTTCATATTTATCTACCTTTTAAACCTGCTCTGGACTTCTACGAATAATTCAAGACCAAAATTAGCCAAATCGGTCCAGCCGTTTTCAAGTTTTGGTGAGACTAACGAACAGCAATTCATTTTTATATAACTACATGTATATAGATAGAAGATATATTGCTTAAAAAGAAACATAAACATACATACATTCTTCTCAGGTCTGTGGTGAGTGTTTGGTTTTGCATTATGATGATACTTAATTTTACCATTTTTGTATTTCATTACACAAGAGGCACGCGAAAAGTTTTAGAAAATGATCGCGGAATTATAGATCGCGAAAAATTTTATAACAAAAAATCAGAAAGGTAATTTTTTTTCGTTCATAAATGTCTGAAATTCTGTTCGCTTTTTGCTTGCTAATGTATTATGCTTGTGTTATGTATTATGCTATTAATGCTTACTGACTTGTATTTATTATTATATTAATTCTTGTTTATTAATTCAAGAATACTTAAAATGCGTGATCTTTGGTTGGAGTTTCATGCAACATAAACCAATATAACGGATTGAAAACGCTGAACGTATGTCTGTGCACTTATCGAATCTCAGCACCATTTCAAAATCATAAAATGTAACTAATGAGCAACGCTGAACAATTATGTAGTGTAAATTTTCTAAAAACCTTGAACTCTACTAACATATACGTCTTAATACATATAGCTTCTAAGGGCTACTAAAATTTAATTAGCTAATAAATTTGGAAGACTGCAATTACATTATACAATATACTTAAGTAGTATAATTCATATAACGAGCCACAAATACCATATACAAACGAATAACGCGAACTAATTTTGAACATGGATGATTAAATAGCTAAAAGAACTAAACTCCAAGCCTGATTTAAAGTTGTCAAAATTGATCATAAATTAGTGGAACACATTGGAAATGGAATACCAATGATACAAGGTCGATGTTGCAATGGCCGATATACTATTATTAAAACCTAGAAAAACTTTAATAAAAAAAAGACGGTGATACTAAGTCTTACTCACAAATATGCTTTAGATATTACAAGTTTCACAAAATATGATGTGGCAGCCCTATAATTCGACATTAAACTGTATTGTAGTTAAAAGGTATTTGGTAACAGCATCCTTTGGCATTATTAGCTTCGGTACAGAAGTATCTAAGAACAAACAAATTACGTACCAAGAGCGATGATCTCGAACAAGCATGATATTTCATTTTCCGTGCTCAAATTTTAAACAATGAATACGATTACCAGTATTACCACAAGCACGTGTTTTATTAAACAAGGAATTGATGTTACGGAACGAATGTAACAGTTACGAGTTAGGTACTAATTTACTCTACTTAATAACTGGTTTTGTGGGAAATTGTGCCAATTTGTGCTCACTTTTTTCTATGTTTTTTTTGTAGTTGTTTAAATAGGTATTCGGATTACCAGCAGATATTATGAATCTCTTTTCTGTGACGGAAATTGTAGATTGTCATTTAACGTACCTATTCTTGTTATTTTTTTAAGATTCAATTCTTCCAGAATCGAGCAAAGGATCGTTTAGGGGATGCTTTTTTAGAGGTCACTTTTGCAACGTCCCAACAGGAACTCTGGAGCGCCATCCTCTCAGTGTCCCTTGAGTGATACGACATGCTCTTTTTCAAATAAGTAGTGCTAACTCTTGAGCGGTACGCTTAATTATACTTGTGGTATTGGTGATGTCCACGGGCGACAGTAACCGCATCAGATGGGACGCTTACTCGTTTGCCGTCGAAGATAATAAAAAATAACAAATAATATAATTTCCTTAACTGAAAATGTTAGATACATTCGATTTACAAATGATTCGAACTAAAAAAAATATATATCTAGAAACAAAATGAAAGGTGTCGAAGAAGCAAACCTCAAATTTCGAAGCAATCTAAAAGTGGTAATCCGTGATCATGAAATTTGAATATTAAAACGACACTATTGAACGCCAAAACAAGTTTGTTTACGAGATTATTAGCAATATTATCTTAAGCAACGCAAAGTTTCAGCTTTATTTACATAGTTAACAATTGCGTACGACTCCCCTCCCGGCGGACTCTTGCGTGATATCGGAATCGGCGACGCGAGCTCTTAGTATCGAAATACCACCTCGAGTTGTTTGCTCGAGGCAGACTCGACACCTGGTTCAATCAACAAAATGCAGCTTAAATTCATCATAGTGACATTAGTGATCCATCATGCAAGTGCTGATTATTTCCGAACTCAACGTAAGTAGCTCTGGCATCATTTTACGGGCGTCCTACATTACCGGGCACCGGGATATAAACAAATACGATACCGAACTGCACCGGTTCGAATCGATTTCATAAGCTATTGGTGTTGCATAAATCGATTATTGCCGTTATAGAATTCAGTGTGTTGCAATCGAGTGCCCGTTGTGAAAATTTGTATCTTATGAATTGATCGAACGCTTTTGTTTGTAATGAAAACCCTTCGATCAATAATAGTACTAGATTAAGGATCAGGAACAAAAATAAGACGCTCCAGTGGCCACGTTTGCAGACACGAAAACATCTTCATTTCTTAGAAAAAAGTTTAATAATGTTAACGACTTCAGTTTATTATAAACCTTAATACTTAAACATAAAGTTTAATTACCATTGCAAAATATATGTATTTAGGTCCTTTNTACAGAAATCATTATTATTTTTCTTGAATTCTTAGACTTATTATTTCAGCAACCGTGACCTTAAATCTGCGAATTTCATTATTTTGACATTGTTGTCAATTTGAGCATCATACTAATTCTATTTTTATTAAATTATAATATAACTAGCGACCCGCCCTCGCTTCGCTTCGGAAACATTAAAACACACATGAAATCAAAAAAAAAAAAAAAATTAAAAAAGTAGCCTATGTTCATCAGGGACAATGTCGGCATCTNAAAAAAGATATTCCTTCCAAAACCTTGGTGTTACGGTGGTTTTTTACTCAGTTTTTGAACGCGCATTGCAGCGTTTTGACGTCTTAGTGTTGGCTATGATTGGACCATACTAATTTGAAATAAGACCACAAATTTATTTGTGGTCTTATTTTTCGGGCCGTTTTTGAAGCGCTAATCGCGAATCTAGTAGTATTATTGATCGAAGTGAAAACCCTTATTGTTACCTTATCTTAATAGTTTGCACGAAAATCTACTACATATAACCGATCAATAAAAACATGGAGTGGTCTTTCGTTTTCAAAACTTCATAGAGGTGGCCTAGTCTTTAAATAGTAATTTTAAATACACTATTGAAATGAGACAAATAATAATTACGAATAAGCGAATGAAAATTTACTTTTAGAACTACCATCATACATATTTCCATAAAAAAAAGGAATGGAATATTTCGTGAACTACATACCTAATTAATTTTTGCTCTCACTGCCTCAATCTTACATCTCTTAAACTATTCCAACTGATCTATTTTTGATGATTGAATTTACTCTTGATACAGCATCAAGAGTCAATTCAATCAATACTCCAAACAGATGCATCTTTGAATCTGGTTTAGATATAGGTAAATTTGGTGTATTTTTTTTTTCCGTTATATCTGTTGATTGAACTATGTATCATCAGTGTTCAAACATTATATTCTTTTTATGGATTTATATCCATTATATGGAAAAGTCAAGCTGTGTTCAAACACCATATTATTTATGAGGATTTATATCCATTATATGGAAAAGTCAAGCTATTGCTCCATACTCAGTTCCACAACTTTTAATTCGACCAAACTCATAATAATTCAAAATAAAACTGATTTGAGTTTGGAATAACGTTTTTCCCTGAACCCTCGTGTTCTTCGTGTTCTCATAATTTGAAATTGACATGTTCCAGAAATATCATAACTTATTGTTCTAATGTGTACATACGTTTATCTAAATAGGTTATTGTGTCTAAATGTTTATGTGCACGATAAATTAGCCAGCACCTAATACCTTATAAACAATTGTGACCTTACTATTACGTTGTGTAAATTTTTATATTGATACTTTTATTGAATCTACGTAACAGTCAGGTGAATGTCATGAACGGCTATAAAAGTTCTATAGATCTGAAGTACCCGTTATCTTGACGACCGATCTATACTAATATTATAAAGCCGAAGAGTTTGTTTGTTTGAACGCGTTAATCTCAGAAACTAATGGTCTGATTTTAAAAATTATTTCAGTGTTAGTTAGCCCATTTATTGAGGAAGGCTATAAGGCTATATGCATAACATCACGGTAAGACAAATACAAGTGAAACACCAATAAAGAATGTTTCAAAATAAGGGTTTAAATAGCTCCTTAACATTCTATAATTCAAAAATATTTTCACTTTCGACGTAAATGAAATGGGGAGTAAAATTTAGCGTTATGCCAAAGTAACTATTCCACGCGGACGGAGTCGCGGGCAAAAGCTAGCTACGTAATAAATCAAACAATTGCCGTTTTAGGATAAGACGTGTCTCCTATTTTCTGTTAATGTACATTTTTGTTCACATACTTATCGTACTAATTAGTACAATTATTAGTAAATTGGGCTTTCGTTGTTACTATTAAATATGCATTTATGTTCGCTTCGGTAACAGCGGTGATAATTTGCAAAATTGAAGCCAGAACATCGAGGGGTCGTTAACCCTTGCGATAGTCCGACCGAATCCGTTCTGCGGTCAGCATTGCTTGTGTTGCAAAGTGCACTGCGAAGACAGACCATTATGGCGTAATGTAGTCCTAGAAAATATCTGGCAAAGGTCATGACCATTATAAATAGAATTAAAATTGAAAATTCGACTTATTACTCAAAATATGGATTTTTATTGGTAAAAAAATTAGAATCGTTTATTTTTATTATCTAAGCTTTTATTTATTATCTAAGCTATTTAGGGATCGAAAGTATTAACCATAAAACAATTATACACTCTATGTATAGGGGTAAAAAAAAAACCATCAAATTTGTTGTGATAATTTAAGTGATTTAAGTATAAAATTATCAAAGCAACATATTACTATAGTACACAAAAGTACAGATTATCAATGATCTTTATTTTTCTTTGTTAATTTTCCAAGTCTTTGTTTTAATAATAATAATAATAATATTATAGCTTTGTTTTCATATTAAGTTTTTGTTAATTTTCCAGCGGATTTCGTGAAAACGTGCTTGAAAAGTGACCCCGAGTTCGATGATTGTTCCCGTGATGCTGTACAGAAATTATTCGACGCCTTGGGGCCAGGTATGTGTATAGTATTTAAATCATTCGTAATGAAAGCTCATTGGAACGTTTAGTGGTTCAAGGAAGAGTAGACGGTCAACGCTCTCGCGGCCGATCATCCACAAAGTGGACAGACGTGATTAAATCAACTACAAAGTGTTCCCTTACTGAATGTACGCGTACCGCCACAAATAGGGAGAAATGGAGAAGTCAAAAGCCGCAACCAAGCATTAAGACATACGTAACCACGACCACTCCGCCAGGAGTGTACGACTGAGAAGAAGAAATGTGTATAGTTGTAATGGACAGATCGCAATATCTCTTCAAACACCCAAATGAAAAATTTGTGAGAAATGATCTTCAGGATATCTTTTCTTCATAGAGATAAAACGGATTAAAGTTAATTGGTTATAAACATTTTATGGAGTTATTTCGGGTCCACATTATTCTTGTAATATCTGAAAACTATTTGTTTACGACTCGAGATAAACTCCAAATAAATGACAAAATTATTTACTATTAGTGTGGTAGAAAATATTCACATTCACAATACACATTTACATTAGAAGCTTAAGAGTCAAATATTCGCTACTGGTCTAAAGTCGCCTGGTATTGCACAAGACGAAACGGGCGGCAAACGACTATTCTAAATCAAGAAACTAACCTCTTTGATGATGCTGCAATCCTATTACTATTTTAGTAGTCAAAAGATCTTCTTGACTATTTTCAAACATTTAATTAAACTGAAGTTTTTATTTTTATGTATTTAATAATTTATTTATCTTATTGTTTTAAATTTGCACTTATTGTCTGTGCATTAAAATTTTCAAAATATTATTTATTTATAACTTTATATACTAGACAGTATAAAGGCGGACTTAATTCCATAGGCATTCTCTGACAGTCTACCTTAGGGGAGTGCAGAGATGAACCTTGGCAGGTGTAGTGTGATAGTGATATTACTTAAACATATTATGTGTATATATAAACATACATAATATTTATAGATACAAATACGCATTCTTAAATAAATACATATACATAAATATATATAAATTAGATGACTCTGCTAACTCTCTGAGAAACATCATCCTGGTAGTTATTCTTTCTGGCCGTCACTAGGCGACCAACGAACCAATGCGAAGTCATTTTGATAACACTTTCTCATGATTTTTCAAAATATCAATCATCATATTGACAGCACAGCTACTGTAAGGATTAAAAGCGATAGGTTCACAATCCAGCGGGCTAGCCATGTAGCCTCAATTACGAAATATTTGTACATAACTTGCGGAAAGCGAAAGCGCTATTTCTTCATCACACCGCGACGACTGCAAGAGATCAGATAATATGACACAGTTTCTTCCTAATAAAATTATAATTCTATAGCCTATGTTATTTGCTTTGATTTTTAAGTTAAATAAAAATCAAGTTCAGTATTCAAAAAATGTAATTACGTACACACAATGGGTAGTCAGTACTTGATCAAATTTGTAGCCTCAATTTGTTCCATAATTTACTATGTTGATGTTGAATTACCGTGACCTGAATTCAGATCTCAACAAACCGGATCGCCTTTTATTGCTGACCGGTTTAGTCAACAATGCTGATCGGTTTTGGACCATTGCTCTTGTCATTTGTATATCATTTATAAACTATTTTACTTCATTGTGTAGACAGACGCAAATCACAGTTAAAACTACAGCTCTTCACAGAATCGTCAACTACAATATCTCATCAACCTGTACAAAACATTGTACAGTCTAAAATACATTTACCGATCAAAAAATATCTTCCTATCAAATATTGAAAGTTAAAGTTTGCAATAAAAATTAACAAAATCGATTTATACAAATATAAGTTAATTTTTGTTTATAAGGAAATGTTTTTACAGATAATTATCCTATGTTTATGTGTTTTTGTATTGACAAAAGGGTATACAACATCTAATAGTTGTTTAACGTAAGATATTATTAGTTTCCCTATAAATAAAACAACTATTAAGGCTTAAACTCGCGTTTTTTATTGTCATTATATAATTTTTGACGTTTAAAATACTATACAGTTTTCGTGGTCGATGACCCCTGTCCGTAGATTATACCGTAAAGAAGTTTTAAGTATGTATACGATTTACTTCCATGTTTGGAGTCCTATTAATTCAAAGTAAACCAGGAGATGAAATGTCTATAGCACTACAGTAACCTACGCTCTCATCTTTACCATATGAATGTGCAAATAGCAAAGCAAATATGCATGCTAAAACTAAAAATTATACATAGCGATATATTTATAAGACGATTTAGTTAGTTTTAGTGCATGTAACACAACCGTTTTTTTTTTCAATATGAATGATTGAATTATAAATTAGCCAAATTTCTCTTTCCGTTTACAGGTCTACCGGAAATAGGTATGCCTCCACTAGACCCATTAAATATTCCGAAAATAAGAATTTTGCAAGGAGAGGGTCCTGTAAATGTCAATGCAGCTCTGGATAATGTCACAGTCACTGGATTCGGAAAAACTGAAGTATTGATGAGTCAGTGAGTAATAACTCTTTCTAATTATGTGTCCCTAGTACTTCGGACGATTGTTTCAATGGCTGAGTCAAAAAAAAATACATATTGGCGTTTTCTTATGTTATGGAAGCAGATGAGTGAGCGTTGCCAACAGTCCCATAATAATGTGATGTTATATTTTTTAATACAATAATTAACATAACTCCCCGTACGTTTGAGCTCTTTGATTTTACAATGACCGTAATATGCTTCAATATAAATTTATGTATGTAATGTAATAGGTAATAATAGTAAATATGTAAATTTTTGGAGCAAAAGTAGATTTTTAAGATATTTAATCTACAATTAAACTATTATATTGTTTGCACTAAACGTATGTGAACGTGTTTTCTTAAATAGTACATAATGAAGTGGGGAAAAAACGTGTATTTTTCCCGCATTAATATTCTTCTTTATTCTTCATTGTTTAAAAATGTTCATTACAAATGTGCCCCAAATTATTATTAATATTGCCCAACTAGCAACTTAACGGTCTACACGGGTCTTAGTTGATAACGCTGTATCATTTATTAATTGTGTTGTTTTAGAAATTTAACTGAAAATAGAAGATTAACTCTCGACATAAGTATGTCTCTAAAGAGTGTCGTCAGTTGTCCTTGATCACGAAAACTAAAGTATTCAAAACATCTAAAATAAATGCAAACAATAAACCCGAGATTAATTTATATTAAAAATATTTTAGTATATTGTCTGCGGCTTGTGACAGGTCTAGATATTATTGAGTTTTTTTTTTCAGGGTTGACAGCAAAACCTATGACTTTTATACTAAAGTACGTGTGCCTAAAATTAGAATAGAAGGCACGTATGATTTAAAAGGAAAAATTCTAGTAATACCTTTGGTCGGCCGAGGAAAATGCTGGTTTGAACCAAGTGGGTAACATAGCAGTTAATAGAAATTGTTAAATAATTTTGATATGAAAAAAATAAGCTTTTTTGTTTTAGGTAACATGACAATAGACATCGTGAGTGATATCAAATTGTATGAAAAGGACGGCTTTGTATTTTTCAATGTCACTGCAGCTCACGTTAAATATTCAATAGGTGGATTGAAGCTGCGCATGAATAATCTCTTTGACGGCATCCAATCTTTGGGTAAATTTAATTTATTAGATTTATTGTACATAGTTAGAAAAAAATATGCATTTAAACAACTATCGTTTGCAAGAAACGGCGGGAGACATCTATTATCGAGTAGGAGATATAACCAAATAGTTGACGCAAAATAATCACAGATGGCACTGTATCGTTGCAGCCACATCTTGTATTATATGGTCTCCTGGTACTAGAGTGTTACAAATTGCAACGTTGAGACGTTAAATGTTTTACGAGGAACGGACATTCTTTTCCTCCGGAAAAAAGCAAATAGAAGTTATCTAGCTGATTTGGGGTCTCCTAATTACTAACCTTAAATACTTTTTTTGAGAACAATCAAAGAGTTTTATCGTTAAAAAGAATCTACTCACAACCTATTTTTGTGAAAATAAAAGAAAAACATTAATTTTATTAAATAAAACATTTGACTGTAGTGAATAAAATTTATTGATAAGTAATTAATTTTTTTTTGTAGGTAATGATTAATGGTAAATAAGTTTTAGGTAATCAATAACTTCAATTGTTAATTTAGGACTGATAGCTGAATTGTAAACGTTTTTAAGGAATCGCTAGGAATAAATTATCTATATTAAATAATACTATTAAACTTATTTTTTAAACTAAACTGATCCCTATTGATGTTCTTTTGTTGATGTGTTGTTGTTTATTTTTAAATAATTCTAGCATAGCGTGTCTTTTTATTATACTTTTATATTTTCAGAGGAAAGCACCAATGCATATCTTAACGAGAACTGGAGGCCTGTTTCTGAATCTCTGCGGCCAATCCTATCAAAAACTATAGAAGACATTCTATTAGGTTTCACGCAGACGCTGTTCCACAATTTACCGGCCAATTTTTTGATCGGCGACGTGAAAAACAAAAATAAAAAACTCGAAGACGCTTTCTAGTTATAATGTTAAATTAGAAATTATTTAATTTGAAAATAGGAATGTAAATATAATAATAATAAGTTTTTCTATTATTTTTTTACTCCTGACCTTTATCCTAAAATGATACTACAAAAGTATTCTTATCGTATTATTTTCAAATCTATTTAGTTGAATCTACATAATAATATATTGGCGTGGAATGAAAAACACTGCTTTTCCTTTAGTTGTATTACGTTACAGCGTTTGATTCGATTGTTTTTATTTATCAAATAAACAAAACGCTTTCCCCTAATGTCGCTAGATAGAATAAAAAGTGTTAATCCACGCCTGCTTAAAATAAAATAATTTACTTATCTTTTGAGCAATGAAACGTATTTATTCGTCTTTCAAGATTACAACAAAATAAAACAGTAGAAAATTATAGATACAGCAAACATTTCATTGATTGGTAATTATTATAAATTATTCGTTTATACATACACCCGCTGCGTATACCAAACTGTCAAATTGTCGAAATAGTAATTAGGCATTTTCTGTTTTTATTAATTACTATCAAATAATATATATCAGCAGTATCTGTTGCTGTAGTTGAAAGATGTAGCATATTATTATATTATTATTATTATCAGATTTATAACATTCTAGAAAAAATGTTTGATAACAGAACATTATACAGAACTGAAATAATACGATTTGGCGTATTGCCAAAACGCAAATTTTAGAAGAGCGTTGTTTATCACACCTGTTATTTCAGGTACCTGCCTACGTTTAATACTGAAAAAGTGAGTCAGAAGCATTGATAGAATCTATTTTATTTTTAAAGCGAAGTACTATCAAACCGAATCGTAATAGGTAAAGTAGAATATACTCAAGATGTCTTTAAAATTATGCTTTAAACCACCTTTTGTCCAAAGAAAAATGCTAGAACTTTCTTGTTACATGAACGAAAATATATTTAAAGATTAATTGGCATAATCTAGAAGATTAATATACTACAGTAGTGTCAACTATAATTTTAAATTGAAAGGAATATGTAGTTAATTCGACTTTATGGAAACAAAAAATAAAACTGACACCGATTATCGGTATTATGGACCTACCTGCCAAATAGGACGTCCGGGCATTTTGATAGACAAGGATTTTTCAAATTATCACAATATATTCACAATGAACACACACGCTGGTGTTTCGCGCTGTTTTCACTAGATGGCACTCTCACCAAAGTTGAGCACAAAATAAGCTCTTCTCACTAGAATGACGTGTTTTATACACCAGCAAATCTCTATTGGCGTAAATACGAGCGCGAACGAGATGAAACAGAGACCTGCAACTATACCGACCGAAATATCCCCTTACGTGGTCTTTCGGCTATTTTAAAATGATTCCTTTCATGTCTGCAACATGTAGGTACGTACCTACTGAATTAAATGACGTTTGAGTGGATTGCGGTGGCTCTACTTAATTTGTGAACTACTTGCGCGTGCTATGGTATTTCTTTATATTTGTCCACTTTTAAAAACATCATGCTGAAAATATATTTTTTTAGTATTATTTATTATTCAAAAAAAATTTAAACTATGAGGTTTGTTCAGTTGGAAAACCTAAGTTGTGCATAGTGAAAATGTTCACAACGAAAAATGTAAATAAAAAGGCATTCTTTCGAAGAAGTAATCAAAAATAATAAAAATACTTTCCGAAAATTACTATTGCTGTTTTGTTGGTTAAATAAATATCTTATGTATGTTTTAATATAATTTCTTTGTCTTTCAATAAAACGAATACACCTCAAGTAAAACCGACAATTGAAAATTAATTCACAATAAAATAGCAATTGTAAATATTTAAATTTAAAACCTATCACCAAAAAGCTTTAATGCAGAAAATTGTAGTTATATCTAGTTACCAATTTCTGTTATACTATTAACTTGTTTATTTATTTTTTAAATATAATTTTGCACTAAAGATTATACATTTAATCCTTAAGGTTTTGGTATCAACTAGACATTCATTGTACGTATGAAATTATTCGATAATTTCTAATTCTTATTTGGAAACTAAAGCAAAGTAAAAGTCGACACCCGATGATGTGATATTTAACCAGATCGAGTTATTTATAGTCAGCAAATGCTTTGTAACTGGAACGAGGCTAAACATTTTCATGTTCGTCGTTAAAACTTCACGCTGGCGCTTTTATATAGTAGAACTAGCAACCCGCCCTCGCTTCGCTTCGGAAACTGTAATTTATTATTGATTTTTATGGATGTTATTATACATATAAACTTTCCTCTTCAATCACTCTATCTATCAAAAAAACCGCATCAAAATCCGTTGCGTAATTTTAAAGATTTAAGCATACATATAGGGACAGAGAAAGCGACTTTGTTTTATACTATGTAGTGATCTGTTCACAAAGGCTTTAAATTTTGTAAAGAAATTTCTAGTAAACGTTTCAATTTGATCACAACGTTGCATATAGTTAGATAATAAAGCAATTAATGTTTAGTTGAACCCGGTAAAAAATTATTGATTCCTAAGCATTATTCCATATTATTATCCTTATAGTATGTATGAACTTGTAATAAAGTCTCTTTGGCTATACTACTGTATCTGGCTGGTTTTAATATCAATAAAAGTTTAAATTTTAAAGAAGATAATTCCAAATTCAATTTAGGAAAATGTGGAATTTTTTACTTATTTTTCGTACTGTCAAGATAAGTGATTCTAATGAATAAATTCGATACATTTTAAAATTTTACTACAAAAAAGGTAAAAATGCAACGCAAGCCGCGTACAAATTTTGCGATGTTTATGGACCTAGTGCAATGTCTGTGAGAGTAGCACACATTTGGTTTAAGCGTTTTCAATCCGGAAATTTTGATGTCAAAGATTGCTCTGTCGCTCTGGTTGCCATATTACGGATAAAATGGATGCCATTTTTGAAAAAGTGGAGCAAGATCGGCATATCAGTAGTTAAGACATAGCTGAAGAGCTGGGAATTGACCACAAAACTTTTTTTGTTTGTTAAAACAGACACAAGAGATTTTATCATTGATCATTTTATTATCAAGACTATTGAAATTTTAAATGGTCTTAAATTGCGAATACCGATCCAGAATGAAAATCTTCATGACTATAGTATATACACTTCATCCTTGCGTATTCAATATGCATATTCCTATTTTTATATTTCTAATCAAGGTTTGTACAGTACGGTTTTTTTTTGCTTAAATGGATAGGTAAGCTGAAGATCCACCTGGTGTTAAGTAATTACCGGAGCAAAGATTATACACTTAATATTTGAGATACTGGAGTCTATATAATAATATACATATTAAGAATCTTTTTATCATCTCAATTTTAAAATCGCACCACCATCGGACGTTTAAATATTTTGCATTAGGTTATGAGAAACCGAATCGAAAACTACTTTTATTGCTATCCGATGCTATGAGAGCTTTCTGAAATAGTAATAATACTGAGGGTGAGGAGAGATTAAATAAAAATGAGCACTTATCACACAGCGACCATTGAAAAAAATATCTGACAGATAACCTAATAACAGTTGTATGCTAAATTTTCTAGAAAATACTCGTCAAAGTCAAAGAACAAACTTTTTTTTTTGAGATTAAATGGCCTGGTAATGTGATATTTAAGCCACACCTACTTATCTATATATTAATACGTGAAGCAAAAACTTTGTATCCCTTTTTACGAAAATTGCGCGGACGGAGGAGTATGAAATTTTCCACACTTATAGAGGATACAGAGAAAAAGTGCACAATACTACTATTTTTTTAAAATAATGCATAAAAGATACATTAAATCAATATAGAAAACATTACACACACTACATACCATGTGTTTGACGCACACACGCATGCATACTATTTATTGTCAAACTTTTGTTCTTGACGTCTGTGGTCAAATTGAGAATAGATTAAATATTGTTTGTCTTTATTAATATTTTTTTATAGAGTAGCCTTGGCGAAATTTGTGATTATAGAAGTCTCTAATACAATCATAATAGTGTACAAACTTGCAATTCCAATTAATTATAGTCGAATTTCGACTACTGCGGGAGCTCTAGTTCATTTTTAAAACAAGAAACATATTTTCGTTTCTCTAAAATAATTATTATCTCTAGTTTACATACGCTCCGCAGCTTGACTGACAATGTGATTAATGGCGATAAGATATTATATATGTATAATATATGTATCCATATTATTATTGAGAGCGTGTAAATATATTTGAATATTGTTATAGCTACTTATAGTATCGGTTGCATTATGCACTGCATCGTTTAACCGCTTGCTTTTTCTGATATCCTTGTACCACGAGTTCCTGGTAAGATAACTTGTTGCACCGCCTTGCAAGTGCAGCTAGCTAGCTCTCTCTGAACATTTTATAAGTCACTGATAATAAAATGTACATATATTTATAGAGATTTTCGATAAAAAGTCTTTTCGTATTTCTGATAATAATCGATATAAAAATTGAAGATAACAAATCTGTATTTTTTTTTATTAATGCACTAACCACTTTCCATGGGTGTTGGTTGAGGTTTAAAAAAAGCTTAAAATTATATAAATATTAAACTTGCATTGAATTGTATTTATAAAATAATACGAGTAATAAATAACAATCTAAATTACATTAATGAGAAGTATTAAATGTATGTATTAACAAAAATATCACTTAGAGGTCAGCACAGTGAATGACCGTGTATGCACAATGAATGACCCACAGAAGGGTGTGCTCAAAGGGGATAGGGCCTCTTTGGTGTCGGCTGCAAAAGGAACGCGCACCAGGCTGTCATAAATACTAAGAGGTTGAGCTGCATACATGCACTTTGCACCGAACGCGTGTGACGTCACTCTACATTTCTGCATTGTTTGTTGCAACACGTTCGTACATCGCTGTTATTGCGACCGAGCTACTAACTACTGTACTTCATTCGTTTTTATTTACCACAGCGCAAATTTTATGAAACTATGAAACGTAAGAAAGGTTATTTTCTAAATTATTGTCTATAATTATTGCTAAGGTTCACCGTTAATGTTTCGAGTTTTGAAAAATATTATTTGCAGAAAATTTTATTGTATTTAAATTCTGGCCACATCGTTTTTGAAGGACATATGACTCGTGTGTTATCTTGTTTCTTTTACTCAGTGATCAGCCTCCACGGTTCAAGATTGCTCACGTTATTTGACTACAGGAATAGAATATGAGTAATCTGGTTGGAAATATCTCCGTCCTACAGAAAATCATTCAATACGTTCGAGCGCTTCTTGCTTCCATCGTCACTCTTAAACTCGTCAAAGTTCGTAATTATCAGAACGACATTGATGTTCTTATTTTAAAAAAAAATAAAAAAAATATTTATCATATTGTCGGTTACGTAAATTTCTAGAATGTTTGTATGTTTTGTTCATGCATGTCCTATTTATAGTGTTATCAAGGTATGAGAAGTGGCGCTGGAGTTAAGGTTAACAATTACGCGGCTTACGATTTTATGTTGTGTTACGATTACTAACATATACGTCTGCCGGGTCAGCTAGCACACAATATAATAAAATAGTAGCATATCGTGAATAAGTAGATTGAAGAAAAGTAATAAAAATAGAAAGGTAATAGAACATAAATAATCGAATTCAAAATGAATTTTTGTCTGTCAGTTTGTTTGTAAGTACACATCTCCGGAAAGTATTGGCAAGTAGACACAGAGAGACAGAGATTTTAGAGAACACAAAAGCTATTTAAAGATTTTCGGAATTCACTCTTACACTGTTAAATTACGTTAGAAGTTGCATGGCAAATATGTAAGTAATTCTGTCTGTCTGTTACGTTATTACGCCCAAATAACTAAACTGATTCTAACGAAATTCGGAAAATAGTCTGTACTATGAAAAAATATAGGTTACTTTTCATGCCATTGCTAACCACGAGAAGTTTATTTTTTAATTTTATTATTATTGCATAAATGGGTGGACGAGCTCACAGCCCACCTGGTGTTAAGCGGTCACCGGAGCCCATAGACATCTATAACGTAAATGCCGCCACCCACCTATGAGTTTTAAGGTTTCAGTATAGTTAAAGAGTGAATGAAGCGACGAGTGGAAAGCTAGCCCGTAATAAAATAAACAACTAACTACCTTGGTAAACTATCTAACTAAATCTATTGGCGCAAATCCATTAGTGGACGTAAAAAACAAAATCTTATGGGAAAGGTTCTTGGAGCAACCTTGAATAGTCCAGACCTGAAATGATTAAAAAAAATCAATTTATAGTTCATAGGAAGTTGAATCTTTGAAGGTCTGTGGTGAAAAGTAGCGTAGAATAGCACTGTCCAACCAATTCTAGTGAGTAAATAAGAAGTGGTCGGTGGAATTATTTCAGTTATTTTTCGTTACTTATTTACCATTGCACTGCTCGCCACAGAAAGAGCATCCCCGATCCTGTAGACCGAATGGTCAATAATCTGAACTAAGCACGTCATTACGTGTCCTTCCGATCCGTTAACGGTGCTTTTAGGTACCTCAAGCACCGGTCACCGTCGTCGCCGAACCCGTCGCTTGCGACGAAGGGCTCGACGAGTAAATTAACCCATAGACACAGCCCACTGAGTTTCTCGCCAGATCTTCTCGGTGGGTCGCGTTTTATGATTGAAATATTACTGGTGGCCTTTCCAGTTTCACCAGGACAGGTGGGCGAGCAAGGCTCAGCCAGGGGGGGTCGCGTTTCCGATCCGGTGGTAGATTCTATGAAGCACTGCTCTTGCTAGGGCCAGTGTTAGCAACACTCCCGGTTTGAGTGAGCTTACCTACTCGTCCGGTTACGCTGACATAGCCTCTCATGGCAATCAGCTTAGGTAGGACAAAAACCCAAACAGAGACTTACTAGAACTACTGTGAACATCCACGGTCTTCCAGAGGCCCTTTTTGCCAAGTACCATTCGGCCTTAGAATCAACTCCTCTCCACGGTGCTGCCAATAAACAATCGTTACCACCGTTACGCTCCTTTAGCTACAAAGACAAAAAAAAGAAATGGTTATGTGAATTCAGCTAAGAATGGACAGTAGTGCTATATGAGTATTGTACGAGCGATCCACACTCGGAATTTAGTGGTGGTACGTCGTATTGATAGCCCGCACGGTTAAGTACCACCATTACTACCTAATTTTGCCGCGAAGTTGTCTTGCGTTCGAGTTGAAGGATAAGGCTACCGTTATACGACACAATGGCGAGCTCAAAGGACTTGAAATGGTTGGTAGCAGTCATATCATGCTATATTCGGACTCGCGATATCCAATTAATACCAAGTAGGCTGTAAGCTCATTTGTCCATAATGAATAATCAAAATGGAGAAGGTGCCCACTTCGATAAAGCGGCACGACACGAGAACCCTCTCATCGTGGTCGCCGGTAACTACATTCCCGATCCTGCGAACAGAATGGAAAGTAGTCGACGTCACCCCAAACAAGTCATTTTGGATCCTCCCGATCCACTAACGGTGCTTTTAGGTACGTCAAGCACCGGTCATCGTTCTCGTCGAACCCGTCGCTTCCGACGAAGGGCTCGACGAGTAAAATAACCCTCAGACACAGCCCACTGAGTTTCTCGCCGGATCTTCTCATCGGAGGGTCGCGTGGGTTCCGATCCGGTGGTAGATTCTGCGAAGCACGGCTCTTGTTAGGGTTCGTTTTAGCAACGTCATCAGGTTTGAGCACCGTGAGCTCACCTACTAGTTAAGGCGACGCTGATATAGCCTCTCAAGGCAATCTATCAGCTTAGGTAGGAATAAAAAAAAAAGAGAAGGTGCTAAACGGACTTAGATTTTGACGCCAGACCGATAAAGTTACTGGGACGAAAATGTAATCAAAAAGCATTCTTTGGTAAAATTGTTTAGCAGTGAAAGTTTTGCCAAATTCCTATGTATGAGCTGTTTTGGTGATTATTGCGGACAAACAAACAGACCAAAACGAACAATAGTTACGTTTTCATAAATAAAATAAAAACAATATCTACATATTCAGTTTTTCATTTCTCTATGTCGCCGCGGAAAAATATTTATTTATTTACTTTAAATACCTATTTATTAGGAATCAATTTTGATTTTATAATTACGTTAGTTACACCGTCAAAATATAATAAATTTTATTTAAAAATAATGTTATTTATTTTAATCAAATAAATCGCTACATTAAAAGTATGCAATATCACAAACCTCCATTTTCTTTTCTTAGTACGAGCAATTCGACGAACAAGCCATTCTATGTTCCTTGCATTCTTGTCATACCGATGATAATAATAGCAAGTGCAAAAGAGTGAGAAAGAAAACATGGGAAACGGTAGAAAATGTGCCGATGACTCATTGTAGATGTGGGTTTTGTTTGGAATGGAACGTTTGGAACGTTGGCCGGCTGGTAGAGAATCTGGAGCAGGCGGTTGTGATCGCCAAGTACCAGGATTACATGAGTGCGCTAGAAGTTTGTATTTATATTGTATTACAGTGTCATCTAACAGATAACGGCCGAACTACAATCTACGAGTGGATGTATTATTTGGACTATTCATCAACAGATGTCACTTAATACAAAAAATTTGTAAAAATAACAACAATCATGTATACGATAAGAGAAGATATTTTTTATTTGAGTAAAGACGACTTAGCTGATAATTCTAGATAATAATTTCCTTTTTTAATTACATGTTTTACCAACCGCCGGATGCTTAGAGCATTAAGTGTGTTGGAAATTAAATAATTTTTTTACTGGTGGTAGGTCGTCTTGTGAGTCCGCACGGGTAGGTACCACCACCCTGCCTATATCTACCATGAAGCAGTAAAGCGTTTTGGTTTGAAGGCTGGGGCAGCCGTTGTATTATACTGAGACCTTAGAACTCATATTTCAAGGTAGGTGGTGGCATTTACTTTTTAGATGTCTATGGGCTCCGGTAACCACTTAGCATCAAGTGGGCCGTGAGCTCGTCCACCCAGGTATGTAACAACAACAAAAAACTGAGTCTGAACAAAATGATAATCATTTTCGTTAAAAAAATCAACGCGTACATATTTCTTTGGTAAAGAGTAGAGTGGGTATTATAAACATAATTAAATGACACGAAACAATCCGTATGTTTTATTTACAAAAAGACAATACGACTAATTTCTTAAATAATGAATAAAATGTAGAGCCACTAAAAATAATAATAAAACACTTATGTAATCTAAGCTAAGAATATTATTGCTGAGACGATAAACGCCCGATATCCGTATCTCATTATTGTAACGATAGAAAGTGTAACTTTCAAGACTAGACCTTAGTAACTAAACTACTAAATGAATAATACAATACCTACTCCTAAAATCTAAAAATTAGTATTGCTTCGTACACGTAAATTTATTCATAGTATTTACATAGTTAATTACTGGCTTTTAATACTAACGTGACTAGTTGCTTACACTACAACATTTTTTAAGAGTACAAAATTATTAAATAGCAATGACTACTAAATTTGGGACGAAAAGCTAAAGGGTCACATAGTTATGATAAAATGAGGCTAATGCATCTTAAATAAGCTTATTACACCAAATCATCGTAACTGTCTGTAAAACTTTGTTCGACAACACTGTCAAAGCCGAGAGATTTCTTTTGGCCCGAGTCCTTTTGGGCTAGCAGTCTGTCGCATTCATTCAATCGGCCATGTAACACTTCATAAACCCGGGTCATAGATACAACCTTTTCTTTGCACGAGGGATCCGTTTCGATGGCGAAAAGACGAGAATCCAGTAGCTTTATCGCTGCAACGATGTAATTTCTTAATGTCTTCGTCTTGTGCTCACTGCTGATCCTTTCCAAGAAAGCGCTCACTTGTCTTTCTCCGCACAAGAGCACGTCCACATCATACGCTAGCGGAGAATGTTGTCTATGAAGATACGCGATGAGCCTCTTTGCGTATCGTCTATAAGTTCGATATGCTTTCCGTTTCCGTGCCCCAAGAGCTCTACCATTTGTCATGCATTTCTTCATATCATCGATAACAGCTTTGTAGCCGGCGTCAATTTTTGAGTCGAAAATATTGTCGCGTAGCCTCGTTTCTAAGGGTTGCAGTTCGTAAGGGGCTGGTGACGGCGGTAAGGAAGGTGAAGAGGGGGGCGGAGATGGTGGCAAGGGATTCCCAGTGTTCTCTTCTTCGCTTGATTCGCTCGACGTTCTACATTCTGTTTCGCTTCTTTGCGGTACTGTGTATGGTCTTGCACGAGTTCTCTGTCTTTGAACTCTTACTGGTCGAGGAGCAGTTCTCGCGTTGTATGCGGTAAGCACATTAGCATCTTGTTCAGTTAGCGGCCGAGCTCTTTGTGTGGCTGCTAATGGTATGATTCGTATCTTGACTAGCGAAAAACTTTGGTGTATTTTAGCTCTTATGCGCGGGTCTTCGTAGTCCGATCCCCATAGGTCTCTTATAGCGGATTCCTTCAGATACCGTACTTGGCATAGTTCTCCATTAAAGAACCGTTTTCTTTGTTGTTCGTTCAGTGCGTCCCTCTCGGCGCCGGTTAGTCCGTGTATTTTAGTTAAATGGTCCGGTAGTTTACCGTACGTGAATCTTGCGCAGTTTTCAATGGGACACGGTATATTTGCGTGGTTCTGTTTCTTTGTACGTGTGACGGGAGCCTGAGGTCGAGCTGCCATATTGGTTGCAGCCCTGAAGCAAAAACAACAGTTAGTTATGTAAGCTAAACAAAATAATATTGTATTGTTAATATGTAATATGTTGGATATGAAACATCGCATAGGCACTGGTGAGGGTCTATTTGGGCCGCGAGGCATTAAGAGTTCCGGCTTAAAAGACAGATTTTTAACTAGACTTCAATATTACCCTCCGGGCATCTTAACTAATTTAATATTATAAAAAGAAAAAAATTAAAAAAATCACTATTCATTAGTTGATAAATCAACGATCGATAAATTTAATCAATCCATAATTAACATTATGTCGACTAAACAAATAAATAATAGTTTAAAATAAAAAAAATACGCTTTTATAGAAAATCCAACTAAAAAATAGAAAATAAATTTTATTAAATTTGAATTAAAAATAGGTTAAGAAAAAATGATTTTATTGTAAAAAAAGCGTGGGGTGCTTTTCAGGATATTATCAAAATAACCCTTCTACTCATATCTGTTCATAAAATATTTATAACTACTGATACCGGTTTTAAATTCCAAATTATTCAAAAAAAATCTATTTTTTAGTTGGATTTTCTATAAAAGCGTATTATTTTATAAATTTTTTAAATATTATTTTTTTCATTTTTTAGTTGAACTTAAATTTTTGTTATTTTTTTTTAATATTGAATTGTCAACGGTCCTTAATAAGTATACCATATTTCGAGTTAATCCGACGTTTTGAAGAGGGTCAAAATCATGTTGAAAGATTCCGTTACATACTAACATACAAACATACATACGTCTGAAGCTAATAAAAGCGTATTAAAAACGTTTTATTCGATAAACGACTCCATTTAATTAGCTTTTCGTGTGTCGTGTACAGGAATGTTCTCGATAGAGTCCAGATAATTTATTTAGAAGATGTTTATCGACGCGGAGGGTGGCTGTCCGAGTATAATAATTGTGTTGACGTACGCCGTTGGCTGTTTGCGAAGACCCTGGGCCTTGTCCTCTTGTTTAATTTATTGAAAACAATGCGTCTCCTGTAGGTCCGGCCGCCTTGTGTTTGCTTTAGTATTGGTGTTTATTGAAGAAACACCAGTTTGATGTATGTTAATGGATACGCGTTTGTAGAATATAGTTTGAGATGTACGGAGCGAGCTAATGTGTGACCATTTAATAAAAAAAATAACGTTAGTGTTCGAAGGATATATGTAGGAACGAAGATGGTTATTATAAAAAAAGGTATTCATAATTAAAAAGGTGAGAACAGTTCGTATTGTAGAAAATAAAAATTTTTCTTCGATATTGTTAAAAGGCTTACGTTAAATAAGGACTAGTTTATCCTGCCAAATGGAAAAACTATTCAAATTAATTACTGGTGGTAGGACCTCTTGTGAGTCCGCGCCGGTAGGTACCACCGCCCTGCCTATTTCTGCCGTGAAGCAGTAATGCGTTTCGGTTTGAAGGGTGGGGTAGCCGTTGTAACTATACTGAGACCTTAGACCTCATCTCAAGGTGGGTAGCGCATTTACGTTGTAGATGTCCATGGGCTACAGTAACCACTTAACACCAGGTGGGCTGTGAGCTCCTCAAACCATCTAAGCAATAAATAAAAAAAATTAAGAAAATATATTCTGGATCAGAAATATCTACGCATAAAAAGCAATTAAATTATACATTCACAAATATCACAATTCCGAGAATAATAACAAACTAAAAACCGAAACATCATTTAAGTCCTGGTTTTCTCGTTACGATTGAGCTAATATTTATTTTGTAAATTAGCTCGTATCGCCGCGAGTCTTCGGGCCGGCTCCTTACAATAAATATTGTAAATGAAACAATCCCCGAGGGATTGGGCCGTTGCGACGATAACTTGCTATTGTTTCGTCTACTTCAATTAATAATTTTGATTAGCCTACGTTTTTGTTAATGAATTATTTGGATGGAGGGCACTCGTTTTTTTTTAACTTGGTTAACCAGTGTTAGGTCGTGTTGTGTGCTTGCACTAGTAGGTACTAACAGCCTGCCTATTGCTGACGCGAAGCAGTAATGCGTTCTGGTTTAAGTGGTGCGGCAGATGTTGTACTATACAACTGAGATTAGTTTTTCCAGGTGGGTGGTATTAACGTTGTTGACGTCTTTGGCCGCCAGGAACCACTTAAGACCAGGCCGTGAGGTCATTCGCCTGTCGAAGCAATAAAAAAACTGAGCAAAAAAAAACGATTTTCCCGGTCAGCGTATTATATGACAATAGCTTAGCCGGTCGTTGTGAGAAAACAAAACCAAAGAGGCGAACGACCCATTTGGTATACTTGTCAATTAAATACCAGAGCCTGTACACATCACAGCATAAATGCCGCCATCACCATCCATGTGTCAATTGTAGGCAGTACCTATCACTTTTTTTTGGTTGTCCACCCCTAACATTAATTTTTTATTTTTTGGACATTTTTTTTTTGTTACAATGAGGTATTATGTGGTTGAATGAGGTTTTGTTATTTTTATATTCCCTCATCGTTCACAGCGCTACATGCCTCTTTAAGTCGTCGTGGCCTAACAGATAAGACGTCCGATGCATTCGTGTTGAGCGATGCACCGGTGTTCGAATCTCAGGCGGGTACCAATTTTTCTAATGAAATACGTACTCAACAAATGTTCACGATTGACTTCCACGGTGAGGGAATAACATCGTGTAATAAAAATCAAACCCGCAAAATTATAATTTGCGTAATTACTGGTGGTAGGACCTCTTGTGAGTCCGCACGGGTGGGTACCACCACCCTGCCTATTTCTGCCGTGAAGCAGTAATGCGTTTCGGTTTGAAGGGTGGGGCAGCCTTTGTAATTATACTTGAGACCTTAGAACTTATATCTCGAGGTGGGTGGCGCATTTACGTCGTAAATGTCTATGGGCTCCAGTAACCACTTAACACCAGGCGGCCTGCGAGCTCGTCCACCAATCTAGCAATAAAAAATAAATAAAAAAAAACTCATTTACCACATCCTTACACACTTACAATAAGTTAGTTTTTTTTTCTACACTAGAAATTCCCTAGAAATCTTATATATGGCAAAACAACGTTTGCCGGGTTAGCTGGCTATATTATATTATTGTGTAATTAATAATTTTTCAAGGTTAACGCGTGTCGTGTGTTTAATAAGATGACACGCCAACAGAACCTCTATGCGAGGCTCGAACCCTCTCTTAGAGAAGTCGTAAGATTTGAATAAATAACTAATTTGCATATTTAATAACAGGTATCGCGGTTGATCCAATTGTTTTATCTGTTTGAATTATTAATAAGAGACTTCAGGTTATTAGCCGACGGTCTTAACGATGTAAAATTCAGTACGCAGCTTCATTTAATATGCTCGACGTGGCAATCAAAAATTAATTACGTAAATTTTGTTGAAAATTTTCTTATTAAATATTATTGCGGAAAACCAGAGCGCAGACTGTAGATTTTATAAGTAAAAGCATTTTTTAACACTAGCTTGTTGGACAAGCTCACAGCTAACTTAGTGTGAATTATAATTAAAACCGCTTTTACAGTTTTACAGTTTTGTCCCGCGTTTATTCTTTTTGTTTTGTTAGATATGACCACGAAAATTGTATAATAAAGTATTTGAACTGTCTCGGATTCCCACCAAAACTGTTCGGTCATCGAAGCGCCGGGAGTAAATAAATGAAAAGATAGTAAGTACCTATTTGTATTCACATCTACGATTCGCGAGAACTTATCTTAAGTATTTCCGGATATTATAAGGTGAATGCAATCATTAATAGTAAAACATGAAGTTGTCGAAGTACCAATTGTTTGTACTTTTTACTAGAGATTCTCATTCAGAACATAATATCAGTGATTTACGCCAGGAATACAGCCCAGTATAATATATTAAAAAAAAATCATTAAATTTTGTAAAATCAGAAATGTAATTGTAAAAATAAACCATGTACTAATTGCATTCATTGAAAGTTGAATGGATGTTGAATGTATAAGAAATCTGCAAAAGAATTAGTTTCCGACTGACCTATTAATCAATCTGTACACCACAGCCCGTTAAAAAATTAGTAGCTAGCATGGTTACTTTACCTCAACAATGCATTACAGACTTCAAAGCAGCCGAAAGAACGTCAAATAAAGTGTACGAAATTATTTTTATAATTGATCGTAAATAGATCGCAAGTACTGGTGGTAGGACCTCTTGTGAGTCCGCACGGGTAGGTACCACCACCCTGCCTATTTCTGCCGTGAAGCAGTAATGCGTTTCGATTTGAAGGGTGGGGCAGCCGTTTTAACTATACTGAGACCTTAGAATTTATATCTCAAGGTGGGTGGCGCATTTTCGTTGTAGATGTCTATGGGCTCCAGTAACCACTTAACACCAGGTGGGCTGTGAGCTCGTCCACCCATCTAAGCAATATGTTCAGTAAATAACGTAATTAGATTTCAAATAGAAATCCGCTGATATGCTTCTGATATTCCTTTAGTTTTATTATTAACGGAGGGACACTTCTTTCCGCGTAAACCAAATGCCAGTACCGAATAGTAGTACATTTAACTCTGACGTCATATGTTGTTAAAATTTATTTCCTGTTGAGATTGAGATACGAATTTTACTAGAACTTTATTATTTTATTCTATTAATTATGATAAATTTGTATTGATCTGTTGCTATAAGCTAAAATCTAATTATTAATTGCGTACTTATATACTTGCAATTACTAATTACTTAGGTACTTGTCTACTTGCACTGAAATACAGACATCGACCGTGAATCAATCCCCTTGGTATTCAGAACTATTAAATCGATCGAAAAGTAAAACCTTTTTTATTTTTTTTTATTGCTTAGATGGCTGGACGAGCTCACAGCCCACCTGGTGTTAAGTGGTTACTGGAGCCCATAGACATCTGCAACGTAAATGCGCCACCCACCTTGAGATATAGTGGCAGGGCGGTGGTACCTACCCGCGCGGACTCACAAGAGGTCCTATCATCAGTAATTACGCAAATTATAATTTTTTGCGGGTTTGATTTTTATTACACGATGTTATTCTTTCACCGTGGAAGTCAATCGTGAACATTTGTTGAGTACGTATTTTTATTAGAAAAATTGGTACCCGCCTGAGATTCGAACACCTCACATTAGTAAACTTGTATATTAGTCTACTATGTCAAGGTACACTTGACACCATCGTGTCGATTTCGTGTCTAGCGATGCGTCTAAAATTATCAAATAAATATCTAATACATGAGCAGAAATGATTTCCATAATGAAGGCATAAGACCAATTAATAAAAATCAAAACAAAATTTTTCTTAATTTCCGTGATAAATAGTGTTATTTATTGTTAGTCCGCGCGATTAGTTGCCACAAACCAACCTATCTCTATATCAAAGAAGTCATAGGTACGTATTGGTTCTTTAGCAGAATAGCAATTTTTGTGAAATTTAAATATTAACCGCGCCGCCGTAAGGATAGTAGCATTTTCGATATGTGTTCCGGTAACTTAAGTGGGAGAAACATGATTATTGCTATTAAGTCACAATAAATAAATCATGTAATCTTAAAAAAGAATTAAGAAAAACATTAAATACATTACAGATTAAATAACAGATCTGTGAGAACTTTTTGCTCACAACCAATTAAATTGATGCTAAAACTGAAATTGATTCTCGCTTGTAATTAGATTCAAATATTACTACGTACTTCAAGTGAGTACTACATTATTATAGATTTTAATTTTTTCAGTAATTTCAATACACAGGATGACAGTTTTAATTTTTATTCTTTCCTTTGATTTACCAAACAAAGTTCCTAAAATCGACAAAGCTATAAAATAGGTGATCTTTTTTTATGTGAATAAAATATAATTAATAGTTAATTTGATGCCTTAAACAATAATGATAAACTGACAATTACAAGAAACAAAAAAAAATTACATACCTTGTAGCTTCACACAGCACCGCAACAAAGTTCGTCTTGTTTACGTCTGTAAATACGTTGTTGTTGTTGTTTATGCTAGCCTGGTACTACAACTGACGCGTGCATCCCCTTCTACAGCCTCCGTACAACTGACGTTACGTAACGATGTCCTGGCGATTCTCTTCAACCCCTATTTCCATGCATTTTCTCGGACGTCGACCATTTTCACTTGAACTACCACACCCCCCTTACTACGTTTTCTATGAAATCGTTTCCCTGCTATTGTTCGGAAACTGTAGGGCACTGTATTCTGGTTGACTGTGCTCGGAAATTTTCGTGGGAAACCGCGTTAAGGCTCCGCCTCGCGCAGAAACATTCTTACAGGCTCGTCTGAGACATCTCTTTGTATTAAAGTGACGTGTTCGAAGTGAGTGCAGTATAAAACAATTGGGTAAGGTACGGAATGTGCGATTTCATGCACTTTTACAAAATACATTTAAATTTAAATTTGTGTTGAATTTGAGAAATACTTTCTCTTATCCAGTTAATAAAGAATAGAATGTTCCACGATATATTTTAAACTTGTTAGGCTAAGGCATACATTACATAATTAACATAATCAAAATTGCGAACACATTTGCGAGATCAAAATCGCTACGCAAATACCGGAGCGCATAGATTTAAAAACACTATTATAAATTTCGCGACACATTATTAGTCTAAGTTTTAGTTAGAAAAACTGCTAACTCGCATATAAGAGGTATACGCACAATCGTTTAGCGTCAGTAAACAAAACTGCAATAGGAAATTCTCTGGTTTTTCTTCGCCGTTACAATATTTTGTAATTAAGATATTCAATGCAAATTGTTAATTGCCTGATCAAATATGTTTACGTTATTATAAAATAAAAATTGCTATTGATTGCCTTTAACGATAGTGTAAATTTTAGTTTCTGGTTTGTTGTTAACCACGAAAATATTAAAACAGGTAATTTGCTAATCTTCTCGACTGTATCATATAAGTACGACATTTTATTATGAATTAATTTTAATGTCTCATGAACCACGCCCAGTGCGTAGGCGTGTCCTTAGACACGCCCACACGCCTCCTGAACAGCTCGAGTCCTGCTCTTTCAGACAATGTCCTTTATAATCCTACTCATTTCAAAATCACCGTTGCATCAGAAGAAAGATATGGAAGCTATGTGTCTTCTTTCGTCCCGTGTTATACCGATATGGCGATCGAGTCTATCGATCGTTCCAACTTTCTAGACGATTGATTAAATACTGAGGGGGATCTGCATATGTGTGAGTTGAATGTAATGAAAGCTTTTTTCGTCTGTTGGCGGTTCAACTATGAATGTATTATATCTAGGTATATCTACATTTCAGAGATACTACCTACAAAAGACATTCACTGGAATCGTATCTACTGAAAATTAATTGCATGTTATATCCATATCCATTCAGTATCTTCACAATTTACATATATTTAAATGATACTAGTGGTCCCTGTGTAGTCGAAATCCTACTATAATTATTGAAATTATAAGTTTGGACATTGTAACGGTTCTATCGTCAAAGACTATTTATTATACTTCTACAACCACAGATTTCGCCCCGAGTACACTACAGAAAAATAGTATTGAAGACAAATAATATTAATCTATTCTCAATTTGACCATAGACTTTCAAAAATGACAAAAGTTTGACAATAAATGAATAGTATTTAAGTGAGTGTCAAATACGTGATAGTTTGTGTTATGTTTCTTTTATTTATTTAATGTATTTTTTAGTCATAATTGAAGTGAAACTTCCTTATCGGCGTTGGAAAAAAATTTACCGTCACATTTTTCGGTTACGCGTCACATTTTTCCGTTACGCGCCATCTTTTTTGTATTCATGTCTATGATAATAAAATCCTTTTGTTTAAACTTTATCTAATTTAACTTTTTTGTATTCATGTCTATGATAATAAAATCCTTTTGTTTAAACTTTATCTAATTTAACTTTTTTGTATTCATGTCTATGATAATAAAATCCTTTTGTTTAAACTTTATCTAATTTAACTTTATTTAACCAATTTCTAGAAAGTTGCATGTAGATCATTTTTCGAAAAATAAGGCCATAAACAAGTTTCACTTCTTACGTGTGTACACTAGTACACGCACACATTTTTTTTAAAAAAATATTAGCATTCTGCGCTCTTTCTCTACATTCTCTATAAGTGTGGGAAATTTCATACTCCTCCGTCCGCGCAATTTATTAATAAATATAAAATTAAAAATGGGTACCAAGTTTTTGCTTTACGTATTAATATATAGATAATCAAAGTTTAATAATATAGTTTTTAATTTCAACAAGTCTTTAAAAATATTTGGACGCTTGTTCTGATTAACTGTCTACACAAAAACAAGGTAAACCTTTTTGTAAGTCGAAATTTTATTATCATGCTATTTTTGTCATTTTGTGCATCAATAAAACTTCAAAACCAAAACCATCGTTTGGGAACAATATTATCATAGTCATTTCAATTTACGTTCACCAGTCTTTAAAAATAGAACAAAATCGCTTTCTGTTCTTACAGACCCGTGGCATGTGTTCACGGGAAGTTATGCATCAATAGTTATTTAAAAAAAAATGGATTTTAATTATTTCTTAAGAGAATATAAAATAGTTTAGTTCTAGTTATCTAGTTTAATCTAATTAAAATCTATTAAAATCAACAACTTTTCTCAGTGAGAATGTAAAGAACAATCATTGTGGACGTATTGTTGAATGATAACGGAGATCCAGGCAACGCAATGATCTCTGTTTTAAATTGAGTCACAAGTTCGAAGTTTATGTGTGTGTATTTAAAAATCATTATCGATATGGAACATGTGATTCGCGGCCATAAGTAGAAAGAATGATGTCACTAAGCTACGTTCAAAACAAACCCTTGTCCATCAAATATGTTTTGTTTTTATTTTACACGTGTTTTTTTGCATAAAAATGTAATCCCGAGGTGACTGAAAAATCATTAATCAGCCAATAATTCGGGCTCCTTTTAAAAACATCCAGGGAATCAAAATCTTGTGATATAGAGCTTATTGTGGATACGCCCCGCAATTTGTTTTTAAATATAAATCGTGAGTGTAAACTTTAGATTATAAAATAAATTTTAATGAAGTAAGATAAATCAAACGTTTTTTTAATTATGGAATAATATGTAGCTTTACGCCATAATCACAATAGGAGAATTTGTGAAATAATGTTGTGATTTATTACATGAAATTACAATTATGCATTACTTTTCTTGGATTTTTATATATATTATTTCATTAATCGTGACCTTAAATCTCCGAATTTCATTATTTTGGCATTGTTGTTTGTTTGAGCAACAGGCTAACTCTATTTTTATTAAAATACAATTTAATGTTAGTCGTTGTTAAGGGCGTAAATTGAAAACGATTTAGAGGCTACCTTAATAGATCCCCTGAGGTATTGAGAAATAACATATTTTTAACACGTATCAGGAATATCGGTAATTTTATTAAAAGTATTTAAATTTGGACAAGGTAGTAACTTTCTAAATATCTAGAATACATTCCATTTTTATAAATATTCCTTACTATAGTGATGGGTCCTCAGATTTAACTTAAAGATAGGCAAATAATTAAACCCGCAAAAACTTATAATTTGCGTCATAACACGGTCTTGTGCCGCCGTGCGGATAGGTGCTGACACCCTGTGTATTTCTATGCCATATATTACGTTATGTTGTCTTTAAGCTTAACATATTATTATAGCACTTAGTGGTTTATAAATTCAATCAATCTTCTATGGAGTAAATTCAGAATGCAAGCTATAATGCAGCATATCCATCCTAAGGTCCTTCACTAGGCATTGCATAAAATGTATAGCATTAATTTCTGCAAAATAACAAACTAAAATGAATCCACGTTAACATTTCTCAAACGTTTTTTGACATAATGATGATAAAAATATGATGTCGAGCTCCCCTCCGGATATCCGGTGGATATTGTGTTATCCGGGCGTCACAATAAGAACCTCGTGATGAATTTGTACCGGGAAATACCACTTGATTGATAATGTAAAGTGTTTGGTCGGAAAAATAGTAGAGAAGAGANAACAAACTAAAATGAATCCACGTTAACATTTCTCAAACGTTTTTTGACATAATGATGATAAAAATATGATGTCGAGCTCCCCTCCGGATATCCGGTGGATATTGTGTTATCCGGGCGTCACAATAAGAACCTCGTGATGAATTTGTACCGGGAAATACCACTTGATTGATAATGTAAAGTGTTTGGTCGGAAAAATAGTAGAGAAGAGACTCCAGTTTAAGAACAACTTATGTGCAGATTATCAAAATTGATGTGGTATATTCAGAGATAAACATCCGTTGCTACTTGGAATTTCAGATTGTTGAAAATCAATACATCTCGACATATGATATTTTAAATGGGTAGACATCTATCATTCACAGCCACTAGAATAGTTCACGTTGCAATTGTTCTTTTGAGAAATGAGGTTATTGACACAATTGTTTTTTTTCCCTACTTAAGCTGATGGTTTTGAGGGGCCATATCAGCGTTACCGGGCGAGTAGGTGAGATGACGGGGCTCAAACCCGACGTTGTTGCTAACACGAACCCTAGCAAGAGCCGTGCTTCGCAGAATCGACTACCGGATCAGTAACGCGACCTGCTGAGAAGATCCGGCGAGAAACTCAGGTGGCAGATGCTTAGGTTAGGTTGTACGTCGAACTCTTTGCCGAGTTCGACGAGTACGGCTACCGGGGTCCCTACTCCCTCTGATGAAACTGTAAGAACGTGTCTAGGGCGCCGACGGCGACCGGTTCCTGCTTGATCAAGATTCGGGGAGTTGTCAGTGGCGGCAACGATAAGTAATTATCATGACCCCCTTAAACTACTGCACCACCGAGACAGTAATAAGTTTACTAAATTATTTATTATGTTAGATGAAGTGGACAAGAGCTGCTCTTAAGTTGTTAGGTCTCCTTTGGAGGCGCTCGGGCAGCTGTTATCAAATCCCACCCATCCTGGCTGAGCTTCTGCTCGCCCACCTATCCTGGTGAAAATGGAGAGGCCTCCGGGGCACTAG